GACCTGGTCCTGATCTTGAGCTCTGTCCATGACCCATTTAGAAAGAATCTGCTGGATCAGTTTAATAAAATTCCCTCAGCCTTGGTATCTAATGCCCCTGGCTAGCCTGTTCAGCCAGCCTAGCAGGAGGCCCCCGGTCTCAGAATTTTCTCTTAGCCCTTTTCCAGTCACTGAGCTTGCCATTCTGCTCCTTGCCTAAAAACCTCCACTTGTCCTTGCTGCATTCAGAGTTGAGGCCAATCTTTCTCCCTCACTACAAATTCCATTGTGGTGACTTCTTCCTGAATAAAGTCTTCCTTCCTGTCTTAAATACTGTAACTTCTTTTCCTTAAAAATTCTCAGGGTTGATGGGAAATCCATAGGGATTACTACTGATGGAAGGGGGCACAAAAAAATGCACTGGACTATGGTGATGGCACAGGGTGATTTGGTGATGGGAAGCCCACGGGGAGTACAACTGAGATGAAAAAATGCACAAAATGATGTAAAAATAGACTATTATATATAAATAAAAATTCCCAAGGTGGTGAGCCATGTGCTACTGCAAGCCCAAGTAGCCAATCAGGTTGAGGGATCCCTTGAAACCAGGCCTCTCGTAAGTTGAGTCCAGGCCCTTGGTCTTTAATGTCAACCCAGGGAAGGTCCAGCTTTTCTTCCCTCTTGAGGCCTGGGAACAGTCTGGCAGCAGCCAAGATAAATGTAATTATGCATTTTTTATTTGTTGCTTTTTCTGGTCTGACCCCTTTCCCTGCTCAGCACTCTCCCCTCAACACCTGGCGAGTTGCCTAGCACCATGTTGCTCAATAAATACCTGCTGAACTAATGAAAAGATGAAGGCAACTGCAGAGAAGGAGAAATGAAAGAAATGTGGTGCCTTGTGGCCCCAGTCTTGGCTTCCTTTTCAGAGGCCCAGAGGAAACAAAGATGCCCTTGTCCAGGCCCCTCCCCCCGCCATTGTTCTCTTCTGAATCCTGTGTTGTAGGAGGAGATGGAAATGGGCCCCTTTGTTCTGCCTCCCCCATTGCTCTCCACTGTGTGGAGGCCTAGCAGCTGCTGCCTCCATCCTCAGCCACTTCTTCCTCATCCTGAGGGTCTTGCCAAAGCTGTGGACCTTCATGGCTCGCAACTCTCTGTGCGAGGCCTTCAGCTCTCAGGCTCCGTCAGCTATAAGGGATCCAAGGGAAGGGTGCCTGCACACCCTCCTCCAAAAACTCCCTGGCGGTGTCCTCAGGGCCTAGTTGGTTCAAACCAACTAGGAAATCTGAAGTGGGAACCCCAACCAGTACCACAGACCTGCGTCAAGAGTTTGGCCCCTGGTCCCTGACAAGAACACGTTCAGGAAATGACGCAAGTGTTATCAAATGTTAATTTGACAAGGTAGTTTATGAATGTTCAACCTAGTAATTTTAAAAGGGTTTGAGTGGGTTGTGAAACCATGAAAAGACACAGGAATCGTAGATGTCTACCACTCAGTGAAGGGAGCCCATCTGAAAAGGCCACATGCTGTGTGACTCCAACATGTTGCAGAAGGCAAAACTATGAGGATAGTAAAAGGATCATTGATTGCCAAGAGCTTGGGTGAGAAAGGGATGAAAGTGGGGGTACAGAGGATTTTTAGGGCACAGAAACTATTCCGTACAACAATATAATGGTGGAGTCATGTCATTATACATTTATTCAAACCCATAAAACATACAATACCCAGAGTATTGTATGTAGACCCCAGATCTGGGTGAAGATCCCTTTGGTAGGGATTAATATTGGGGGTAGTGCTAATTTCTGTACTTTCTGGGCAATTTTGCTGTGAACCTAAAACTGCTCTTTAAAAAAATGAAATCAATTTAGTAATATAGGGTGAAATTTTGTATGACTTTTTTTCTGACTATTAAATTCATTTCCCTGGTAAGTCAGTGACCTGAGCTGAATGTCCCCTCTAATCCATCTCTTGAAGTCCTTCACCCATGTGTGTTGGATTTTTGGAGGTAGGACCTTTAGGAAGGAATTAGGTTTAGAGGGGCTCATGAGAGTGGGGTCCCCATGACGGGACTTGTGCCTTTACAAGATGAAAAGACCAGAGCTCTTTCTCACTAGCCTGTGAGACCGACCAAGGAGATGCCATAGCCAAGAAGAGCATCTACCAACTCTGCTGGCAGGCATCCAGAATGGCTGAGCTTTCAAAATTAGGAGCAATAAATGTTTCTGGGGGTAGAGTGATGGCCTAGAGAATGTCTGGTTCTTTTGGAAAATATAGGGAGACTCAGGCAGTCACAGGCCATCAGTCCCTACCCCAAATTTTACCACCTGTTGGGATGGTCCAAAGAAAGAAAAATCAGTCCTCCTTAATGGTGAGGGTTTAAAGTCTCCACACCATCAAGATACTACCAACCACTGTGGCACGAGTTCAATTCCCAGCCAGGGAGCTGACCCACATGGCACTCCTGTTTCACCCGCTGCTCCCCTCAGCAGTGTATTTCAGCCCCCCCCCCACTTTGTCTCTGGTGAATCCTCTCACCCTTCCACACATCTGACCTACACCCCAGTTCTTATATGCAGAAATAAGTAAAAAATAAATCTAAAAAGAAAGAAAAATCTTGGGTCAATTCTTCTAGACTCCTTAGCAAGTCTAAACAAAATAGCGTGGAGTTCCACTGTCGACACTGGTATAAAAAGTTCAAGCAGGTATGACCAGATGTCCTGGTCTGTCCCATGACAGTCTATCAAAGTGGGGACTAGGTTCTGACTCCTCCCTGGCTCGGAGACAACAGTGATATCCATGCTATCTGTAGCCACAGATCTTGAACATCACTTATTCTACAGCTAAAACTTATGTCAATTACCCTTGATGTGAATTAATCAACCCTATGGTGTAATTTTGATAACTACATTGGAAACACATTGTCATCACCGCTGGAGTGTGGGTGCCTAAGGTGAGAGCTGCCTACCCCGTTTATACTCAGGTGTGTGCTGCTTCCACATTGCTTGCGCTAAGTATTTCCAAGTATATTAAACCCAAACAAGACTAACACGGACATGAATTGCATGATCACGAAGTCCCCCTCCCGAGACAAACATAGTATTATATATTATAACCTGTAGTGTAATATTTAATTTTTGCTTTAATATTGCTTAAAGCCTAAGAATCAGGAAAGAAGTTCAGTAACAGGTTTCACCAGTACCTTTAGCTGCTGGAACGACCCGAGGCATTCCCCAGGTGCAGACCAGTACAGAGCTCCTCCTGAAATGTAACAAGTGACGCCTCAGCTTTGTGATCCCCTTCCCTCTTTCACTCCTGCAGGCCAGTCCCCTTCCACAGGATGGTTGAGTGCATTTCCGACTGTTCTAGAAGGCTAGAGCAGATACTACTCACATTTGTGGTATGGTGCAACCTGCAGTGGAGGTGGGTGGGAACCAGCTCAGAAGACATGATGAAGGCAACATAGCTGGGGCAGGGAGAGGTGATGCTGCCCCGTGTGGGGAAATCAGAAGCCCAGAGGAGGAAGAACAGGCCACACCTAATGGGTCAAGAGCATCCCTTCTTTCCTGGGCCCTGGAGAGGTACAAACTGGTAGACAGACACTCCTGACCTCACTCTGAAACACTAGGTTGGGACACATCAAGCCGAAAAGGAGGGTGGCCAGTAGACTGGACTAGGGGGAAGGTCTGGGGTGTCAAAGAGCCTGGGTGAGGCACAGAGCTTATAACACAGTGACGATTCTCACAGAGGCTAGGGGTTCACCCTAGGGCAGACCCCAATGTGCAGCTGTGATGTGACAGCCAGGACTTTGAGAGAAATGGCGATGTCACTGACATGCCATTCGACACGAGGGGATGGGTGGGTGAGAAAAGAGAAAATATCCTTCTGCAAAGTCCTGGCAAACCTCCTTGGCAAACACAACTCCCCCCGCCCCAGGCCAGTGGCCAGACCCTGACTGTTTGCAGCGCCCTAGCTCTCTCTCATTTCAGGTATTTGTCCACAGGCCTCTCTGCAGCCAGCTCAGCTCCTCCTGAATAGCTCTGTACCTCCAGTCTTCCCTGTCTCTTGTCTGCACCCACCCCATACCCCTCCCTGCCACTGTTAGCTTGGAGCCAGTGACTCCACACCTCCATGAGTGGAGCAAGAAGCCTTAGCAACCACTTTCTCGTGAAATATGACATGGCAAACCAAGACCATTTGGGAGGTCAAGGAGTGGAGGGTTTCCTGGAGTCAGCCCTTGGGTATAAATAGCATTGATACTCTAAACTTCTGCATGACCTTGAGCAAGTTACTGAACCTAAAACACGGGGACAAAAACAGCTTCCACATGGGCTTGCTGTGAAGGTGAAATGTGTGTCACTGCCTAGCAAGTCCCACAGGCAGTGCCCAGCAAGGGTGACCAGCCTCTCCTTGCATGGTCTCTACTCTTATCTCCACCTGATCGCTACCATGTCACCACCCACATTACTCACACAGCTCCATGATCTTTTGAAATAGATGTTCAACCTGTCATTTCTGGTTGGAAAGTCCTCCAGGATGTCTCACCGTTAGCATGAAACCCAGCCCAGGGTTCGTTCCTCTGACCTCTCCACTCATCTGGGCTGGTCACAGCTGCCTCCAGGCCTGAAGACCCTGGTTGGTGCTTCCTCTGTCTGGAACATCCTCCGCCAGACCCTCAAAGTCAAGTCCAAAGCAAATGTGATTTCCTCACAGAACCTTCTCAAATCACCCTCTTCCTCCTTAGCACTGATTGCCCACCTATAGAGACTTAAGTGATTGTTGTTCAGGGCGCACCAGGAAGTCAGTTCCACTTAGTTGAGCCCTGGCTGAAAGACGGGAGGACAATGAGGAATGAAGTTATTCATAAGGGCAAGGGGACACTTTGGAGATCAAGCCAACTGGTGGCTGCTCACACCTGACCACCTCACTTCCACTACTCCAAATCCTGCACCCTTTATACCCTTTATAAGGTAAGGCCCAGATACCCAGGCAAAAAGAAATGTTGCACACCCAGCCCAAATGGCCAAAGTAAACATTTTTATTCTCCGTTATGCCTTGGTCGTTTCTAATTTTACAAGAATGAATAAATGGAATCAACAAGAATTCTTTCCCTCAATGCCTTTCATTACACTTTGTCACTGAAAAAGTTTCCTGTTTTTCCTAAAGAGAGTGCGGTTTGAGGGTGACCCAAATGAGGCTTACGATTGCGGAACTTCAGAGTTAATCGTCCTGCTTCCATGCCAGTTCCTCCCACCGAGCAGCCAATGCCCACAGGGAACTATAAAGAGCAGCCCAACAGATGTAGCCTTCCAAGGAGGGGATGGACTCAGAAAGAGCCACGGGGGAGTAGTGAGCAGAGGTCATTAGCCCAGTTTCTGCCCCCAGCAGGGCACGTGATACGGTGGGAGTGTCCAAAGACTGAAAGAGCCTAGAACATCCTCATCCACCCCTGCACACCCTCAGTCAACAGGAAGGGAGCAAAGATCAGAAACAAATGTCCCTGTTTCTGAAGAGATCCCAGATGAGGGTCCCAACTCCCAGTCAGGAACCTACTATCGGTGAGGAGGGGGCTCTGTCCCTCCAGTGGCATCTGTGTTGCAGGGCCCATCATCTTCCTCTCTGCTCCTGCCGATGCAGGAGCCTGGCCCGGCAGGTCACAGGATAGTCTCTCGGATGACACCGATGAGGCTGTGCGGTCGCTCAGCCTCTGCACGCCGGGGCCTCCTCTCTGCGCTGGGCCTCCCCACAGCAACGAAGGTGCTCAAGTCTCCACAGCTCTGCAGGTGCAGCAGGCCAGGCTGTCTCCTCGTGGGCAGCATGTGGGCCCTGGAAGTGCTGGGCTGCACGGGGGCCATTATCTTTGGGAGAATAAAGAGGGTCAGGTGGTTAGACTTCACCAGATGTGGGCCTCAGACTGGTGTTTTCCCAAACTGGAACTCACTTGGCATTGCAGAAACCTGACACATATTGCTTCTCTCCTAAGTTTGCACATTCTCCAATTGTCTATCTTTTCAACTGTAGACCTGCCTTTCTTCACAGAATTATCTAGTCCAGCTTCTTGCTTTATAGTTAATGCTCTTCTCATTATATTTTCCAGTTTCCCTGTGGCCTAGGCCACTGGCTCGCCCTGGTTCTGTACAGCACCGACTGTGGATGGAAACATGGATTCTCAGACCCCCCAGCCCCACAGCCATTCTGACATGGAGCCTGGAATGGGGCACTAGCATCTGCCTTTTTAGCCAAAATCCAGGTGAATGTGATATACTTGAAAATGTGCTGGTTTGGGATCGAGTTTATGAAATGTCAACCAAAGATAGTTAATCTGATAATCCTACAATAAAAAACATAACCAACAACATAAAAATTAAGCCATTTTATTTGTAAGTCTTTAAGAATGGTTCTACATGTATATCTTTTTTATTTTAGTTGCAATAAAGCACATAAAAGTATGTCACAGAATCACTTACTTTGCAAAAATAAGGGAAATTCCTCACTTAACTAGAACTGATGTTGGAAAAATTCTCCAGCATATACTATTTTTAAAAAAACACAGTGATGTCTATATGACCTATAAAACTGTTAGCACCTTGGGGAAAACTCTATTACCATCTAATACCACAAAACAAGCATCGGGATGACTTTTTGTTTAGTTAGTAACATTTTGAGATTTTAACATCATTAAAAGGTTAATCTTCCCCGGCTCCCCATCAAGGACATTAAGTTTTGCTACCATGCTATGGTTCTATTTGTCTTGAAGGCCTTTCCTTATTTTCTGATTCAGAGGAAAATTACAACATTCCTAGATATTCACTATTGTTGACATGTTAAGTAGGACAAGTAGTTTTGACATTGATACAAATTAAAATGGATCTAAAAATGCATTCCAGTAATACTAAAGTGAAAATGCACAAAGCTGCAGTCACAAATAACAGCGCCCCTCCCCATGACCTGCTCTCTGGGAAGGAGGTGGCATGTGACACCTGGGTGGCCCCGGCAGGTGGCCGAGTCTAGTCTGGCAACCCCAGGACCTGTTCTTTCACTCAGTCTGGACACAAAGGCTGAGCAAACATGCAATGATAGCATCAGTTCGACTGTGAGTGCTTGTTCTTTTTCACCAAAGCCATTTTCCACTGAGCAAGACTATGCAGAAAGTCCAGGTGAACTGCTTGGTGGATGCTCCAGCTCTGACCTCACCAGGCTTGGCAGCCTGAGAATGCTCCAAATACTGGTTCTCATTTAGAACCAGTATTTTAGGACTGGACAGAAGAAAGAAGGTAGGGGCGACATCTGGTGAGGATGTGAGCATGTGACAGTCAGAGGCACCGGCTACCCCTGGAGCCTGATCCAGGCCTACTAGCTGCTCCTGCTCGCTTACAGAAAGCAGACGAGAGAGTGCACGCTCATGACCTTCTCCATGCAAATCATCACTCTTCTGCAATCTTTATCCTCGAAGGGACTGGGAGAGAATGTTATTTCTGGCTACTATAACCATAGGCCAGTAGGTGCAAAGGGGCACAGAATGGAAATTGTCTTAAAAATTGGCCTACAGTCTGGTAAGTGGTAACAGCCCTGAGAACCAGCCCAATTCAACTCAAGCAGCATTCGTTGGGCACTTAATGCACATTGGCACAGCAAAGGGACACCCCAAGCCATCGCACAGAGGCCTATGGCCACCACCCCATATGTAGGACGCAATGTAGTAAGTGCCTACAGGCGAGCACTCTTCGGTGAGGTGATAATGCGTCCGTCCCACCCCCAGCTCTCATCAAAGGAAGTTTTACCTACTCAGAGTCACAGTGGACAGAGCACCCCATCCAACCTTTCACTTCAAAGGTGAGAATCCTGACCCTTAAACGGATTATGGTAGATGCTCAAATTTATCTTTTCACTCGGATGACTTTGGTTTATGGGACTGCCTTGTACTTTTCTATGTGCAAAGGTATTTGTACCTATCAGCTTAGGTATCTTGCCAAACTTTTCACTGGAGTATGACCAGCTCCCAGAGCTTGCAGTATTAAAATTCACGTGTGTCCATCACTAGCAAAAGGCTGAAAACATCAGCCATCTCAACAGAAACCTTCACCTTAGAAACCAAATGCTGAACATGCTCCACAAGCCACAGCCTTTGCCTTTACACCCAAACTGCACCCTTACTTTTTCTAGGCAGGCTTCCACACCCCGAAAAAAATGGGTTTCTCTTCCTTTGAGCCAAGCACACTGTGGGAAAATCACCACAACTGAAAATAAAGTGTTCCAGCTTCCTTTCTCTTACTCTTCAGACCTCCTAACCCTGCGTCCCTTGAAGCAGAGACCGAGAACTTACTGTGCCTTGGACAGGAAATCAGCTGTCTGCTTCAGCTGCTATGGAAATGAGTGATGTGACTCATGCCTGATGTTAATAATAAAACTACCTGTTCTAGGAAACTGGCACTTGTGATGGCTTCCTCCATGTGCTCCTCGTCAGACTTCAAAACAGATTTAATGTTTTCAACAAGTTCGTGGATGTCGGGGGTCATGCTGCAGGAGGACTGCTCCAGGAACCTGGCCACCAGCATCTTGGTGTCAATGTAAGACTTGTAATCTACTAAAGACCTTGGTCTGCATCGCGATGCTCTGGACCGCAAGCCTCTCCTCAGGGTCACTGAAGTCAGATCCAGTCTTCCTTCAGTCTGAGTTGCAGCTTCACAGCTGAGCACAGGGGTGGCTGTGGGCAGAAACAAATGACACGTCCCATTGGCCAAGACCTGTGAGTACACACCTGTCCTGAAAACAGCACAGGCTGCCCAACTCAACGTGGAAAGCATCTGAAATGCTGATAGCCATGCAGACTTTGCTTTGGTCTTGAAGGAAAAGAGGGGGAAATCAACTATGATATAAGCTTGTTCTCTGAAGGGCAGTTCCAATAGGATGAGTACTAAAACATTTTACTGTACTACATAAAACACAACCCCCAAGGTCAGGACAGAGGACAGAGATGAGCATCCAGAATGCAGCATAATGGAGCAACAATTTCATGGGGTAAAGACACATAGATGGCGATGAATGGGGCAAGCAGAAAAAACATGGGTGACCAAAGAAAGAATGTCCCAAGGGCAGAGAATGAGGGAGCTGTTCAAAGAAAGGGACTGAGGAGAAGCAAGATTTGTGCAATGGATGGAATGTTCTGTTCACTTTGACTGTACCTTTGTCCTAAACATCCTCAAAGGCATTGTACTGACTCATTATCGATGCTCAGACCATGGCTGGGAGGTCGCTGTTATGACTAGTACAGAAAGAACTATCTAGGTGCAGAAAAATTACACATCATTCCAGAAGTCAACAGAGGCTTGGGAAATCCACAGGGAAGTGAGCAGGCTCTAACTCCCAGGATTGCCTACATTGGCAAGGGCATAAATACAGGCAGAACATTCCTGAACCTTCAGGTAGGTGAAGTGTTCATAAGCCAGCCAGCAGCCTTCAGTGTACACGGCACTGGAGATTTCAGTCTGCAAAGGCCCAGTAAGTAGGAATTTAATTATTCAAGGGAGACAGGAAGAAGAGGGTGAGAGAACAGGTGGAGGGAGGTGAGCATTCCTTTTCCTCTGGAGAAACGTAGGCTTGAGGATCTCTAGACAGGGGTCGGCGGCCGTGTGCATGTTCCAGCGAGCCGGAGTCTTCCAGAAACACTGACTATAGACACTCGTGTGTGAAGATAGATCAGGGGCTACACTCAGTCACTTGAAGACAAGCGGGTCCCCCCCCCACAGCGGGGGGCTCCAGCAGGTAAACACAGGCCACCCTGGCCCCTGCAGCACTGCAGAACGGAAGGGGGTTCTGGAAAGACCTCACTAAGGCTGTGTAGACAACTATGGTCCGGTGAAGCCTTCAGGGGGCCAGCTCGAGTCCTCAATTTGCCAGAAAGAGCAGAGGAAACCCGTGGTGAAGACAGGCCTAGGGGTCTGAGGGCTATGCTGCCAGCCTCAGCTGCAGAGGCACACTGGTCCCAGGCAGGACTCCTCCCCATTCAGAAGCTGCTGTCGAGACAAGAGGAGTGTTCTCTCTGGTTCCCACACGGTCAGTCCAGAGCTGTGGCAAACAACACAGACTGTCAGGGACACAGTGAGACCTCAGGGGAGACGCAGGGCTGGGGGAGGAGGGTGAAGGGCTCAAAGTGGTATTTGGTTAGAGCTTGAGGAGCGCACAAGCCACTCGTCAGAATAGGTCACCAAAAGAAACCTGCACTGCCAGGTTTCCAGAAGATTCTCACATTCTTCCTATTTCCTTTATGTTCTACAATTTTCTACAATAGAAGAGATATTTGGAGATGTCCAGGTATTGATATATTTAGAAAAAAGGACTCAATGTGAAATTTTTTTAATTCAAATCATTTGAATAACATCTGTCCATAGAGAGGAAAAAGCTTCACTCTATCTGATGTTCTTATAATGGTCATACTTAAATAATTCAGTCTACTCAGACACAATATAAAGAGCTAATGTTAACTGACAGAAAAGGGGTTTAAAAACACAAAGCCACCACCACACCTCCTTGCCCTGTCCCTGTAGAGAGAATCCTTCCTTCCACGAGATCATGGGCATCCAGGAACCAGAACCAGGTTTGCATTATTTCCTTCATGTCGTACCTAGGTGGTATCATGTGCAGCTTCAGCTTTGGACATGATCTAAAGAAACCCTCAGGGGGGTTAAGTCCTAACGTGTGTGTATATAGAACTTCTGTTTTGCCAAGATCTCCCAATCTCTCCACACTCCCTCTTGAATGGCAGGGCCTGGGGCTAGGAAGGATCACCTGCCTTCACCTGGCACCTTTAGGCAAAGAAGCAGGGCGCCATGGGACTAGCTGAGGAGAGATCTCACCTCTCTCTGTGGAATGGTGGAGCACAGGGTCACTCTTTGACCTCGTCCTCAGCGGCCGCAGGGCTCTCCGGCTTCTAACTGGGGGAGGCCGGCTTGAGCTGGGAGTTGATATGGATGAACTTTCTTCTTCGGGTGCATTAGGGATGTCTCCACCTGATTTTTATGTTTTTTAAGAGAAACAAATTATTTCACCAGTTGCAACCATCAAAACATTGGGCAGGAAACACCTGTGAGCCCACAGCTGCCGGGGCAAGGGTAACTAGTCAGCAAGCAGCATTTACTTAGGCTGCTGGCCCAGGGAGTTTTATGTCCCAGGCCACGGGAAACCCTGCCTCTCCAAAGCACCCGCCACACCTAAAACAAACAAACAAAAACTTTAATTCCAAGAGCAAAATAAAGAAGCCATGTCAAAACATCAGTTTTTTCTAAAAGCACTTAGACTCTTCTCTAGGGAAGCCTCTGGGGCAGCCCTGAAGGCAGCTAGCCATGTCAGAGCTTCTGACAATTCAGGGTCAGCCCTGTCGGGGAAGAGCTGCACAGCTAAGATGGTGGCTATGGGGCCTCTGACCAAAATGCAGGCCCTGGCAGGAGCTCCAGGCTGGGCGGGGAAATGCCCAGAGAGCCTAGGCCATTATGAGGTGAATCGGCAAAAACACTGGAATGGAATAACTCCCACTCAGGAAATAAAATCACACTGTTTGTGAGCCCAAGCTCCATACTGGAAAGCTTTCTGAAAAAACAGAATTACAAGCACACTTGGGAAAGACTACTGCCGTCTGATTCCACTTACAACAGAAGCTGCAAAGGACAGAGACCCGCCCTGCATGGTGCCACTGAAAAATCACTCCATCGAAAACAGCTAAACGTTGATTCATTATTTATTATCATTTGCAGCCTTGTCCTGAAGGACAATTCTCTGGGCCATTTAAAACCTCTCCAAAGAGAGAAAGCTGTAACAATATTCCCTTAAATTACAAGGCTAAATGTAAGCTGACTCTGGTACTTAATGCAGGCCTGGAAATCAGAATTCACTACAGGTTAAGGCAGCATGACTTCAGCGCTAGGTTCTAAATGACAACCTCACAGCAAATCACTCTACAACAAGCCAAACTATTCCTCCCCACTCCCATCAAAAGGAGTCATCTTATTTCAACAGGAGAAAGAAGATCAGACCAGAAAACAAAGGAGGACTGACTTGAACTCTGTAATCCATTCATACTCTGGTTATTCATGAAAGCCTCTAAGGATGTCTACTGCTTTTTCACATATTACCTCTCACAAACACTATCAGCTGATAATATTTTTGCACCTGTAAAGAAGGCTGCAGTTTGAACTATTTGCTCCAAGAATATGTCACCTCCAACAAAGTATCACATAGATCACTTATCATACTTTTGTCTACTGAAGCATGATGATGTGTTTATTACCTTGAGTCACTGGTGTGCAGATCAGTTCCAATGGGCTGGGAGCAGCTTCTGATCCTTCTGCCACTTGGAATCCAGATCCCTGCATCACCAGGAAAATATCTGTTGATATTTAATGAAACCCTCACCTGGACACCAGAAAACTCTTAAAAAGAGCCACAGGGCCTGGTCTCCCCATTACTCCCTATGCAGCACGCTGCTTTCCCGACGTGCCATCAACATATTAAAGAAGCTCCTAGGCCAGTACCTGCTGCCGGTCCATCTGGCTCACCACAGCTTCATAGGGAGGTGGGGGGTCCAGAGGACAGAACACTTCCACACCTTTGATTCTCGCTCCATAGATGTGTGGCAGTGGAATAACATCAGGGCCAACCATCCTAGGAAAAGCATGCTGACATCAGAAATTCTACAGATTGGCCACCTGATGATAGTGGCCCCTCATACTGGCCTTTGCCTCCAGAGGGTTAGCTGCTGACAGAGGGCAAATCACTCATCTCTCCATGCCTCCTGCCTCCTGGTCCAGGAGAAGGAGAATAATCAAAGCTCCTTTCTGATGGAGCAGCCAGAGTTCCATCAGTTAAGTGATAAACATACAAATCCATCATTCCATTTAAGTTTACTAGTCATAACATAAACAATAATCCTTATAGACAGAAAGCAGATTAGCAGTTGCAAGTAGCTGGGAGAAGAGACAATGGGGAGTGACTGCTTAATAGCAATGGTGTCTCCCAGGAGGTGAGAAAAATGCTTAAGACTAGATGAAGGTGAGGGTTGCGAGATAATGTGAATGTCCCAAGTTCCTCTGAATAGTATACTCTCAAATGGTTCATTTCAAGTTATGTGAACTTCTCTTTGACTAAAGAAAGAAAAATCTTTGCCTGGATTCCCCTAATGATTAGCAGAATGTCATGGTTGATATTCATGTTCTACCATTATGCCACATCATGGTAGAAACTTACTCTTTGTTAAAGAAATATTTATTTGAAAGGATGGATTTTTCCCAACAAGTGAACATCAGAGCTCAGAGACAAAGCAGCACCTGCCAGCAGAGTGAGTTCCTAAAGTCATTTAACAAACACTAAGCACTTGCTCCATGCCAGATACAGTGGGCTCTGTCCTATCAGTGAGGGACCCTTCACAGCAGAAAAAACAAAGTAGGAATCACAACCTTTATGCCAAGGTTCATAAAACATTACATAAACGCATACACACACAACAACAATAATCTAGATAATAGTCTTAAATTACAAATAATAATTAAAAAATACGTGGAGGACCAAAAAAAAAAACAAAACAAAACAAAACCACCCTGTATTCCAGTTATGGAGAACTGGAAACTGGAAATTGAAAAGAAGGGATGACAGCAGAAGTCTATCTGGTCTTGGACAAACTAAAGGAGATTAATGAAAAATTACATCCAAGGGGACTGTTTAATTAACTTTTTTAATTAACTGTTTTCCCAAAAAAAAAAAGGTGCTCTCTGACTATGCTTGTTTCATTTTATCCCCTATGCCCATTTATAAAACTGTAATTGTTGGCAGAAGAATGTTGAAAGCACGCAATGTTCTTTCTTCCTAACAATAAAACTGCAATTCTGTGATGTAGAAGAAAGAAACTTTTGCAGTCAAATGAAAAGAAAGAAACAGGCAATCTCTCCCAGTGTTCTTTTATCTTTGTTCTGAAGCAAGACTCATCCCTGGCTTGAGCTGAAAGGGAAGGAAGATGCCTAACGCAGCAATAACAGACTTAGTGCCTAGCAGGATGTAGTATGAAGGGGCCCTGTAGGGGACGAGGAGGGGTCCTGGCAAAGTTAGCAAGAAAGGAATATTCTTCTCTTACAGCAGGACTTGCCCGGTTACACGGCAACTCTCTCGCCTAGTCTAAGTTGTTGAAGCTGTTTAAGAGCTGTTGCTACCAGGTGACTCCAGGAATCCAGCCTCTTCCTAGACTTAACAGAAGACTGACCAACAAAAAAGCAGTTTTATCCCATAAGACAGATGGACTCCTGCTCCATCCAGAGAGCAAGTCTACAGTCCTTGGTCAGTGCAACCTCCTCAAGCCATATAATAACTTATATTTATAGCCCTGTATTCCCCCTTGGCCAGCTCCCTATGAATTTCATCACTGCTGTGTCCATATCTAGGGAACAAATACTCCTGTCCTGTTTGTTTTTCTGTTAGTTCTAGTGGTCTTTGCTTTATATTGCCAACCTACATTTTCCCAGAGAAGAGAGGACTTTCTAGGAGCCAAGTGGTGAGGAGAAAGGATTTCTGCCCTAGATCATAAACTACTACAGAATCTCAAGAAGGAAAACTCAGGGGGAAGCAAGGGCACACTGGATCTAAACTGATGGCAAACTGAATGGCTTCCTGGTGGTAGTTACAATAAAGTTTCCTTTTGATGGAAGATGTTGCTGAAGTTGGTACACCAGTGTCTTTCCTAAAAAGCAACTTTTTTTATGTGTACTGTGTAATAAGAACCCTTGGAGGGAAAGAGAGCTGCTATTCTGCCAGGTTCTAGCTCAATGCCTCTGGTTCTCTACCTTAACTACAGAGTAGAATCGCCTCAAAGATTTTAAACTATGAGGGCTCCTGGTTCCTCCTCTTGAGTTCTGCTCTCATTGCTTGTGGTGGGGCCCAAGCATAGTTGCCAGTACCCCTGGGGCACTGCCAGGACTGAGGACCAATGCAAAAGGAAAGGCATGATGGTGGCTGAAACTATAGCCCTATTATATCTGGAAGAGATGATCAAAAAAAAATTTTTTAATGTTTTTCGGGCCCTCCCTAGTGGAACACCAAGTTAAAGCACATCACTATGAAGATTACCGAAGCCACTGCAACATGAGTTTGATTACAGGCCAGGGAGGTGACCACATGGCGTGGCAGACCTCCCTGACCCGCCCGCTGCTCCCCGCAGCATTATACTTCATTGATCTGTCTGTTCTGCTCCCCACTCTGTCTCTGGTGAATCCTCTCACCACCCTTGCCCTCTAGCCTGTACCCCAGTTATGTATGAGTGAATAAATAAATCTTTTTTTTAATGTTTTCTCCTAGAGGTTCTTTTTTTTTTTTTAAAGATTTTTTCAATTTATTTATGCATACAGAACTGGGGTACAGACCAGAGGTGCAGGGGTGGTGAGAGGATTCACCAGAGAGAGAATGGGGAGCAGAACAGATAGAGTGACAAAGTACACTGCTGAGGGGAGCAGCAGGCGGGTCAGGAGAGGTCTGCTGCGCCAATGTGGGCAGGATCAAACTCCCATGGAAGTGGCTGCGGCCAGCTTCACAGTGCTGCACTGCTTTAACCCTCTGCCCCACCAGGGAGGGCCTGAAATGATCAAATTTTTATTAAGAATGAGTGTTTTTAGAAAACTACTGCCTGATAAGGCAGAGATTCATAGCTAAATGTTTCTGAAGTGTAAGACATGTGCCAAGGACATTTTAAACTGTGAAGCCAACAATTCTTGTCTAAGCTTTCATTTTTAGAAAGATCTTTAAAGCCCATTATCGCTTTGAAGTCCCCTTAGCAGCCATGTGACAATGCACAAGAAAGGAAACTGAGGCTCAGAAATCCTAAGAGCTCCACCCAGGGTCTCCCCTTTAGAGACACCAGAGTAAGAATTCACTTTTTTTGCAAATTTTCTAAGAACCCTTCACTGGGAGAAGGTGTGAAAGCAAAAGCACCTTTGGAAGAAAGAAGACACTATTTGACCTACATCACATACTTGGCACCCTAGATCCTATCTTCAGTGGGCAAACACCCTAGTTTTATGAAATTATACCAATATAGAGTGTACGCCACTTTCCTTTTTAAAATGGTTCCATTTATTTACCTCTAGCTACATATTCTATCAAAGGTATTTTAACATTTGATCAACTTTGCTAGATTCTCTTTAGAGATGCCAGTTTGTGTAACCCCAACTGATACTTGTCTTTCTTGTAAGGTGGCAGGCCAAAATATTAACAAAATATTGATTTTGTTACTATTTCCACAACCATTTCTATTGAATTTTCACACAGCGGAGGCTTCCCATTTCCTGTAAGGTATTATAACCTCTCTGAAGAGATTTATTTAACTCCTATAAATACGAGCTCTTCTAGCAGTGCTATCTCCTTGAGAAAGGGCTTCTCAAGTTACAGCCATAGACAGACGCCTGAGTGCAGACCAGGCTTCAGGGCCCAAAGGGGTTATCAGGAGGGGGAGGAGGAAAGCAAAGGGGAGAGAGAACGGTGGGGGAAGATAAAGAGAGGGTAGGGGCGAGAGCACAAAGGACTGGTGGAGGACTGTGGGTGCTCTGGTGGTGGGACAGCTACAGTGACCACACCTGAGGGGAGGAACCTTGTACTGTCAAAATACTAACAAGGATGTGAGACAATGGCACTTCCTTAAAAAAAAAAAAAAAGACGGGCTGTCCTTTCTGTGATGGATGTGTAAGTGGGCTGCATGTCCACCTCTACTACTCAGGAGCCCCATTCTCAGCAACGGGGGCTAATCAGCAGTCTGCACATCTGTGGCTGGACCTGGCTGTCCTATGGTGATGTTACCTATTACATAAAACTGAAGATTGAGGGAGGGAAAGCAGGATGACTTGGCATTTCTTGAAGGTAAAGACACTGAAGCCTACATACTTCCTTCTCTAATGCACTTCAAAACCCAAACTCAAGGAGCAGGCGGTGCTTAGATGTTGGGAGGGCTGCTCTGCCTCACTCCCCGGTCACCAACAGGAACCCTCTCAGCATGGGCCAGAGAAAGAGCTTTTCCCCTACTCAGGGGAAGATCAAGCTTTCATCAACAGCATATTGATTGCTGCATCACCCTTGGATAATTTTGGGGGGCCTATTTGTAGCATCAAAGGAGAACATGTTTTGTATCATCTGTTGAGGTTCCTATTCATCTTCAGTGCTCATGATCGGTGTTCTGACAGAGGAGCAGTCAAGAGAAAGGGAAGAGAGGATAAGAAGGCGGGAGGAGGCGGCTGCTGGTCAGCACGACTCCTAACCCTCGTGAGTCACTTTCCCTTTCTGCCACTGCAGGAAATTAAATCTGTCTGTTGCCTCTCATGTCACGCTAGCGCTCAACCTCAGAGAGCCAAGGGATTCTTCTTAAAGAGGGCGCCTCTCTTCCCAACCATGAACTAACATTTTTATTGTCCTCCAACAAGCCCTCAGTGGACAGCAAATTAGAACATGATTTTAGCAAAACATGGCCCTGAGATACACATGTGTTTTGTTCTGTGTATCTCTAGCTCACAATTCTTGGCTCATTTCTTACTCGATTAGGACCCTAGGCCATTTATCCTCCCAGCTTGGTGGGAGGCTGAGGATGAGGCGAAGGTATGTCTGCAAGGTGTCAGTTGGGAAGACAACTCCTGACATACATTGAAAAGAGCGTAATAGCATCTGGGTGGTAGTTCCCACTGCTGATCTGTTTCAAAATCATATAAAACTGCACTGTGCACAAAAAATGGGTTTCCAAAAACTCCAAGCCTGGCACCAAATTTGTTTGACAACTTTCCTCATGTACTACAGGGAGTAAAAAATACAAAATCCTGGCCCTCAAAATGCCAAGCTAAATTACTAGTCTTTCTGTCGAATTCAGAGATTTTCTTCTGGAAACTTAAATATAGATTTGCTGACCCCTGAAATTCAGTTAAAGATCACCGTATCCAAGAGGCCGCGTCTGGCCAGCTGACTCCTCCCTGAAGCCCACTCAGCATTCCAGGTGAGGCGGTCCTGTTCTGTATACTGAAAATTTCTCTTATAAGTGCTACTTGGATCTTCCTAATACTTATTTTTAACAACTTAGACTGTGAGCTCCTTTCTAGGGGGAGAAGGCAAGTCTGTTTTAAATTTCAATAACCCAGCAAAGGAGTGGGGTAGGGAAGAGTAGTCAGCAAAGGATGATTGAATGTTTGCTGAATGAATAAATGAAGTTATTCTTTACAGAAGTATACAAGTCTAAAAGCTGCTAACAACTACATACTCATTTCATCCTACAGATAATAATTCCTCGGATTTTGAAAAATAATCAAATCTTAAGCTGAATTTGAAAAGGAAACAAGTATTTGTCTATTTTTTGAGGCCAGGGAGATGTAATGAATATTTCATCTTTTTTTAATGGCTGGGAAGGATTTCATGATTTGGGGACCTGCTGATGGTGTCATAATGAGCATCAATTGGCCAGAGAGCATTGCCAGGGCAACAGCAACTCTCAATCAAGTCAAATTACAGCCGTTATCTCACTAGTGTCAATTTTCTCTAGGAAGCTAATTGAAATCGAAAAAGTATATCCTTAGGTCAAGGATTGACTCTTCTTTGGTTTCATGCAGCTTATCAGCCAAAAAAAAAAAGAAAGAAAGAAAGGGGAAAAAAACACGGAGAGAGAACAGAAAATCCTAAAAAACAACACAATCTTTTTGGATTTCTGAGAGAAGTCAGAGCTCATGTTCTCAGTTCTGGAGACTGCTCTTCAACACTGAGAGCACCCCACCAAGAGCAGGGGAGTTGAGGAGGATACCTGCGGTTCATCCGGGGTGTACACGAGTAAAACGTGGCAAAATAGGAAGGGGGTGGCACCGGCGGCACAAAGTCATCGGGGTCTGGGAGACGACCACGCTCTTCCACTTCTTCGACAGAAATCTGGGATTCGTCCTAATTAAACAGCACCTCATTTAGTCAGCAGTCTTCACGACAAAGGCTCGGTGAGCAAAGCAAAGAATTACACAAAAGGCCAGGGCAGTTTCAGAGAAACACAGTGGTGGCCACACCTTGCAGAGACTTACAGTGCAGGATCTTCGGGCTGCAAAGATCTGGAGGTAGCGGAGGGCGGCTGCCACCAAGCAGACAGTGGTGGTCAGGGCATTCAAGGCACACAGGGCAAAAAGGACTTTCTGGAACAAGGAAACATGGCGCCACTGAGTACTTCAGCACAGACGATCAGACTGCAGAAGCCTCTTTAGAATAACAGCACTGTCCCAATAAGACAACTCTCCTGAGAAAGTGCATACACTTGACTTAGATGATGTTTCCATCACTGGTAAGAGCTAAATAAATGCTGGACGCCATCAGGGCGCTCATGCAATCGGGTGTACTTCTTTATTTCAAAAACATTTCGTGGCGTCCTGTCTCAGAAAAATCTGGCATTCTGATATTTCTCTGGAACAAGCATCAGACTACTGTCTGGAAAGCTATGAGTTACTCTTCTGAAGCTGGTGTCTCCAGTGACAGCAACTGCCAGCCTTTGCCCTCTCGCAGCCTCCTACCAGGACAGCATGCTGCTTAATCTGTGACCACTCATTCTATTTCAGGAGTCATTGGCAGAGCTGCCCCAGCACCCAACTAGGATGAGGCCGGCGGCAGGCTGGCGAGAGTGCAAATAGGGCTTCTCTCTAAAAACATAGCTCAAAAAAGCAGCAAAGGCAACTCCAAAACATTGTATTGCAACAGTTCTGGCTCTTTAGCAGGGTTTTCCCTAAGCTAAGTCCTGGCTCAGAAAGTTTGGGAGTGACTCAGCTCCCAAAAATCCAGAAACCAGAGAAAACAGTCATTTTTTACATCCTGCATAACCCAGACAGCTGGCAGCTTCTCTCTACTTACTTAAACATTCTTCCTCCCCACCCCAGACAAAAACCTAAAATAAAAACCTAAGGAAGTCATCAATGTTTTTGTCACTCATTAAGGGGACTTATGTCAAAATACAATTTTTATCCAATTTCCTAATAAAAATTAGTTTTACATTTCTCTTCTACTTGGATCATTTGTTTTCAGTCCCTTGCTGTCTATGAACAACAGGTAACGTGATCAAATTTCTCTTATATTTTATATCACAGAACAACACTGCTCAACCACCCACAGGTCTCACTGAAGTCAACAAAGGAGAGGCAGAACAATAATAAATGGACCTGCGATTTGAAGGTTTTACTAAAAGCTGCATCACATGTGTGTAGCTATATCCAGTGTGTGTGTATGTGTGCATAGATGTATATGTGGAGTATATGCACACACACACACATACATGTATAATTTTTCACTACTCTTAATTTTTTAATTGCTTTTTTAAAAAAATGTATTTATTTATTCATACAGAACTGGAGTACAGGCCAGAGGTGGAGAGGTAGTGAGAGAATTCACCAAAGACAGAGTGGGGAGCAGAACAGGCAGATCAACCAAGCCTACTACTGAGGGGAGCAGCAGGCAAGACAGGAGAGGTCTGCCACGCCATCATCTTTAATTCTTGAACACAAAAAAGTCACCCATTCATAAGTTAAGAGATACACAATAATCTGCACTCAATTATGTCTCTGGGTTGCTGATAAAGGGTCACTTGTATTTTTTTTTTTTTTTTTTTTAGCTGCATGATGGGTTGAGAGAAGTTAACAGATTAGGACTATGTCAAGTTAATGCTTTCTTTGCGAGATCTGTGGTGTATTTGTTGCGGGGAGGGGGACAGTGGAATGTAATCCACTCAAGGTACCTTAAGCAGAAGGTGAACAGCACTACAAGGCTGAACAGGAAAGAGCTTCAAGGCATTTTCTTTGTCTGTACATTTGGCTGGTTGAAATTCTTCACAACAGAAGCAAATCTTGCCTTCCCCCAGGTCCACCTAAAGCCATAAAAAGAGAAGAATAACTTAATTATTAAGAAAAAAATACACAGGTTATACCTTGGAGCACCAATTGTACAGAATGAGATATGGTTGGGAGCTACGGGACCATGTCAGCCAGAGTGTGTATCAGTCAGTATGATCTGCTACTAGTCCCAAAATTCAGTGGCATAGCCAACCAAGGTTATTTCTTGAATATGCTTCATGTCCACTGCAGGTCAGCAACGGGCTCTGCTCATCACTATCCCTTAGGGACCCAGGTGTGTGGAGTAACCATGATCTCGAAATGATGACCCTATGACAGAGAGACCAGAAAGCTCATGACGCACTGCACACTGGCACACAGGGAGAATGTGCAACACCCACTGAAATCTGAATCAGGTTAAAAACAAGTCATTTTTCAGTATAAATGTTCCAAATACTGCACGGGATATGTTTATAGTAAAAAAATAAAGTATTTTAAATTCAAGTTAAATTGGGTGTCCTCTATTTTCATTTGCTAAATCTGGTACCATAGCTTAAATACTCCTTTTAGAAAGGACAGTGACCATTTTAGCTCATATTTCATTGCCAAAGCAAATCAGACCATCCTCACTCAACTCCAAAATGGCAGAGGCAAGGTGCTACTATCACCTTAATGGTCACATCTACCTGTTGACCCTCACCCGATCTCTATCCTTTCCTACTTTCCTTGGTCTACAGAGATGCTCTGTACAATGTCCTCACACCTGGATCCAAACCCACCCTCTCCACAGTGGGCACAAGGGTATTTTTAATTTTTCTTCCACTGCCTGACATTTCTGAAGGTAGCCCCTACTGCTCATAGTATCTGTGCAAGATTTTGGCCTCCTAAAGAAGAACGGCTGTGGCCTTTTAGGCAGGATTTCTCCAGGCAGGTCACAGGCAAGTGGGAATTTACTTCCCCTCTCAAGGTTCACTGGCTTCCTCTTTGTCTCTCTCCCATAATAAGTCCTCACACTGTGTTAAATTCAACAAGTAAACATTACTACCTGCATACTTCCTCCTTGAAAGTCTCCAGCTGAGAACTTCCTGTTTAAATACTAACTACATTACTCAGTGGTAATAATCAGCAGCTAGAGACGTATATCAGCCTCCACTCTGCTCACCTCCATCCTGACCTCCTTCCTCCAAACAAGAACCAGGTTGACTTTTTTCCACATGCAGTACAATTTGTATTTGTGTCTTGTACAAAACAAGCCTCCAGATCCTGCCTGAGCATTCTGCTGCCCACAGGAAAGGTGCAGGATGAGCTGATGAGGTACTCCCTTCCCACACAAGACAACCCTGGCCTGCGTGGGCTGCGCACACATGGCTGCATTATTTGCACGCAATCAGGCATCCTAACAAACAGAAATCTCAACTCCCTGGAACCTTTAGGGTGAGCCAGTCTGGATGACAAAATATTCCAGACCGGGGGAAGATTAACCCTTGTAAACAAGTTCATTTGAAAGTTTAATAACATACAAATGATAATGAGTCTCAAATAATATGCCCAACTGAGAAAAGAAAGTCCTGAGAACCTTTTAAAAAATTATTTTAGGCAACTGCACCATCTGTGTTCCTTGTACTTCTTGTTCCTTACCCTTCACCTTTGTTCTAAATCCCATCTTTGCTCAATATTTCTTAAAGCTTATTCCAACTTCTCTTGGATCACTTTAGTTTATCTACAAACCTGTTCAAGTCTCCCTAATCCCAAATGAAAAAATTCACCCATCAGTTGTTACTATCACCTGATCTGATCAGATCCTCCCCTGCTTCCACCATCAGCCCCAGCTATGTTAGAATCTCCACGTGTGCCTACAAATAAATAACACTATCAGCCTTAGCAACTAGAGAATTGCAAACTGATGTAATGATGAGATTTACTTTAGCAACATCAGACATTAGAGACACTAGTAGAAATGTGAGTACAAGCTCTTTAGAAAAGGCACTAACTATACATCTTAAATTAGAAATACTTATTCCCGGCCCTCCCTGGTGGCACAGCAGGTTAAAGCACTGCACTAAGAAGCTTAAGTCACTTCCGCATGAGTTCCATCCCCGCCTCCCCAGGAGGAGATCCACATGGCATGGCAGACCTCTCCTGACCCGTCCCCTGCTCCCCTCAGCGGTGTACTTCATCCATCTGCCTGTTCTGCACCCTGCTCTGTCTCTGGTGAGCCCTCTCACTGCCCCTGTACCTCTGGCTGTACCCCCAGTTCTGTATGCACAAATAAATAAAGCTTAAAAAAGAATTTAAAAAAAAACTTATTCCCCAACCACTTTGGAAAATCAATCAGCAGTTTCTTATAACGCCAGACATACATTTACCACATGCAGCAATTTCACACCTATACAGTTAGTTAAGACAAATGAAAACAGACCCCCCCACACACACACACACACTATACAAAAATGTTCACAGTAACTTTGTTCATTATTCTGGAAACACCCAAATGTCCATCAATAGAATGAATAAAACAAATTGTGGTATTTTTGTACAATGAAATACTGCTCTGCCAAAAAACAAAAGGGGGGAGGGAGGATGAAACAATGGTTATGACGCAAAAACACGGATGAATCTCAAAACATTGTACTGAGTAAAATAAGTCAGACACAAAACGTACACACTTGGTCTCTGGCCATTCCCTTCATTTAGTCATCATCCCTGGTCCAGCTTATGCCTATGTTCCAGAGTGCCTTTCTCCATCTTTTTTTAAATAATTTTTTGAAACAGCAGTGTAACAGTAGTTTTGTTAGGGAGGAAGGATGTCCTAAAGGAACTTTGCAGAGTTTTGCGGACTCCACCCTGTATTCCAGCTTTTTGGACTCTACCCCCTACTCTCGTGATTGGAAACTACAACTTCCAGCTACAACCCAGGAGAGAACTGCAAGGACCCAAGGGCAGACCTAAGCAGGCATTCTGGGACTTTGGGGGATATTCAGGGGGCCATTTCTACATGCACACTCTTGGGACTGTGTGGCTGGTGGCTATCAATGTGTTACTGGAGTTCCAAGTCAGACGAAATGGTAGAAAGTTCTAGTTACCTTGTATCTCTCTTTCCCTGGGTTGTTCCTTTTCCTTTCTCCTTTTATAAATAAACCCATTATTGACCCTTTTTGTGTGTGCCTGCAGTACAATTAAATTTTAAGCGCATGGGTGAGGACCCACAGACAGGCAGCCAGTTCACACAGTTTCAGCTGTGTATCGTGATCAATCAACACTGTGTACACTACATTAAATACACCACTAGCAGTCCATTTTAAACAGAGAGGGATTTGTTACAGGACCCCTGGAACTGGAGCCTGTTTACCTAATGCTCCTGTTATTGAAGCTAACAGGAATCCCATAGAGACTTCCTGCTTTCAGGTAGGTACCAGCTAGAACCTGATGGTCACACAGACACAGATGGCAAAAGACTGACTTAGAAGTGCTCTCAGTAGTCTGCTAAAGTGCTTATGGCAGGTAGAGAATGAAGATGCCAATGACATGAGCCAGATATAAAGGAGCAAGCACACAACCTGTCTGCACATGCCCAGTATAGTCCAGTCCCAAACATTATAAAGGTGCTCCCAGACACCCCAACCTGGTAATCACTCCCACAAAAGCAGGACCCCCACTGCTCTCAGGACAAATGTGACTGAAATAGTTGCCACCTCTCTCCTATTGGCTAGTCCACTTGAAAAAATAAAAATGAAAGGTAAAAGTCCCATTCTGTTCTTCATTACAAAGTTGGCCCCCTTTACTGAATGAACCCCCTCCTTTCTCCCTTCCAGTCTAATAACAACTAAATTTGGTTTTACAATCTAACAGTTTATTTTCATTCCACTGGTTTCTTTATATAGCACATGAGCGAAATCAAGCAGTGTTTATCTTTCTCTGTCTGATTTACTTCACTAAGCATAATACCCTCTAGGTCCATCCACATTGTCCAAACTGGCAGGATTTAATCTCCTTCTTTTTTTTTTTTTTAATAGTTGAGTAGTATCCTTGTGTGTGTGTGGGAGAGAGGGAGAGAGAGAGCTCTTTTATGCAATCATCTGCCAATGGACACTTAGGCTGTTTCTAGTTCTTGCAAATTCCCAGCACTGGCACTCACTCAGATTATAGTCTAATTTCACAGCTGGGTGTTTATTCATTCCTTCCACAAACACTGATTTTCATATTTATCTTTCTAATCCTACTCCTATAGCTGCATGGTAAACTTCTAGGTCAGAAACAATGTCTGACTTTCTCTCTACTTTCTGTAGCCTCTAACAAAGTATCTTGCATATAACAGATAGTACAATTTTGTGATATGGTCTTGCAGAATATTATGTCTTCACACTACCTGCTCTTTGCCCTTCCTAATGTGCTGTGTCGGCAGTAATTAGAAAAACCAACCTTTGTTCAAAATTATTTTCCAGGAATTCTCTATATTTAAAGAAGCCTGGGTGGAGGGGGAAGGGTTGTAGGAAACTCCCAAGATAATAATGAGTCAGACACTGTCCTCAGGAAGATTTCAGCCCAGAAGACAGAGGACAGGTATACAAATATCTTTAACTCCAAAGAGAGCAGGATAAATGCCAAAGTGAACCACAGAGAGGAAATTCTGGAAGATTATCTTCTCTGGAGTCAGAGGCTATTTCCTGCAGGAGACAGTATTTGAATGGGGCCTTAAAAGACTAGAATCATTTGGATAATCAGGGAAGTAAAGGGATAGGGATGTCATGGGGAGAAACTGCACTGTTATAGATGTAAGAAACTAGGGCAGGGGCCTAGCTCACTTACAGGGAGTGAGAGTGGCTACAGTGAGAGGGCATAATAAGACAGAAAGATTTTAAAGCCAAAAAGATTGTGAGACTGTGATTACATAACTTATGGTTATTAAGCAAAAAAATAAACACTGTTTTGTAAAGCATCGTTAAGAAAAAGCAACAGATTTCTAATGAGTCACTATGGAGTCTTCCTATTTGAGAAGATCATGAGCTTCAAGGGTTTTTATCACAGCTTTTTTCTTTATTTGCTATTGATTTTGAAAGGGTGATTGCCATGTAATCAAGTTCCACATACAGCTGATCCTAGAACAACATGGGTTTGAATGTCATGGGACCTTTACATGCAGATTTTTTTTCTATTGTGGGGTTTTATATTCATGGATTCTTTAGATGTGGTTGGATCCAAAGATACAGAACCTGTGTAGATAAGGGCCAACTCTGAGTTGTGCAAGGATTCTGGACTCCTCCAGGTGGGGCCCCTAAGACCTACTTGTTCAAGGATCAACTGTAGGCAAGACTTACTTTTAAAGAGTTCATTTATTTTGCTTTGAACCACAGAACAATATTTATTACTGAAAAGTCCTTTTACAAAGTCTAAAGATAGCCAGCAAGTCCACTTCAGGGAATATATCCAAAAGAACTGACAGCAGGGTCCCTAAGAGATATTTGTACACCCATTTTCATGGCCATATTCATCATAATAGCCAAAAGGCAGAAGCAACACAAATATCCTCAAATGGATGCAGGGGTAGACAAGATGTGTCACACACCCATGGAATGTCATTCAGCTTTTAAGAAGAAAGGAACCCAACAGTACTACAACAAGCAGACAAGTGAACATCAATCAATGAAAGATAAATACAGCAGGATTTCACTAATGGCAGGTTCCCTGGGGAGTCATATCCACAGAAAATAAAAGGGAGACTGCCAAGGTCTGGGTTAGGAGAAAATGGGGGGTTGGGCTTACTTTGTGTAGAATTTCAGTTTTCAAGATGAAAACAACTTGAAATGTAAATCTTATAAGTTTTATGTTTTTTAATCACAATTAGAAATTAGCAAAAATAAACCAGAGGTGGCACAGGTCCATAACATCTTACCCACATTTCTCAAATCCAAATTCTCTGGAAATTAAAAGTTTTGACTACAGCCTAGACTGTGCCTAGACTACTCTAGTGTGCTACCAAATAAATAGCATATGCATCATGGTTTCTTTGGAAAATTCAGAAAAATTCTAGCTGCTAAGACACATCTGACCTCCACAGGTTTAAGATAACAGATTGCTGATGTGCATTCTGATAACACCTTTTTTCCCTCCTCAGCTAACAACAGACAGAATTTGATTGTGGACACAGATCACTCCACTCATTGATGCATGATATTACTGTGGTTCTGGGAATATGCCGAGTGGTATCTGCTTTGGGAAAAAACTGTTGACAACCCTAAGTAAGATATTTAGCAGGTAGTTCTTTGTTGGGTTTTCCTGATTTCACCCCAGGAAAGGCAGACATCAGGTGCACGATGTTTTAGAGCCACTTACCAAGTCACACCTGGGCACACTGGACACAAACTGGGCTCCCTGGCAGCCGAGGATAAACCCAGCTAAATTTAAGAGGACACAAACCACAGAGAGCAGAACAAAGAGGTTTACCTGGAATAGGAAGAAAATGGGCAGTTAGGAAAAAAGACAACAGTTCAATTGGAAATAGTTTTGTCTGAATAATAAACCTGATGATCTCTGTCTAAAGGAAACTACTTTTTTAAAGTCACTTAATTTTTAGAACTTTTAAAATTGTGCTGAGAATGCTACTAAGTCTCAAGCCTTCTCAACAATTTTTGGTCCCTATTTTTTTGCCCCCTCTTTATAAATAAAGGAGTTCGAGTTCTTTTTCCCTCCCCTTTCTCTGTACATTACATTAAGACATGCTATTTCCTCCTTAAGCTATTTTTTTTTCCTGAGTTTTGCTGGATCAATGGTAAATAAGTAAATGGAGAATTCTAGAACATAAGTGAAACCCATATAAGAAAATAACAGTCTACAAGTTAACAAAGATGAGTCTTTTTCTCAGTTCCAAATGGTAGACACAGAAAATATAGCACACAGTAATCCTGCATGTACTTTTCTTTGAAGTCAAATATTACATTTACCCTAAATGATTAAAAACTGGTAGAAATCAATCATGAAGCCAGTATTTATTCAGTGAAAATTAGAGACTCTGAAGACTTTTTTCAACTTGAGGACTAGGATTATTATCAAAATCAAAATTTATACAAGTACAAAATTAAATTTAAAAATTTGAATCTAGTGAAAGAATGTCACACACATATATTATTATTCAACCACTTTAAAAAAAGGAAAACTTGCCAGTTGCAAATACCACTATGATTTCATTTATACTTATATGCAGAACCTAAAAAACAAGAATAAATTCAGAACATGCTGGTAGTTGTCAGAGGCACAACTAATAGGGGAAGGGATAGGCAAAATGGGTTAGGTGGTCAAAACTTCCAGTTCAAAAATAACTCTTGGAGATACAATGTATATTATGGTGACTGTGACTGACAATATGCTATTGCATATTTGTAAGTTGCTAAAAAGTAAATGTTAAAACTTCTCATCACAAAAGAAAAAATGTGTAACTGTAATGGCAGGTGTTAACTGCACCTGCAAATATTTCACAATATATGTAAACATTGAGTAATTATGTTGAATGTCTAAAGCAAATACATTATATACTAATTATCTCTCCATTTAAAAAAGAAGATGGAAGTTAATGATTATCAGTTTTGGAATCTAAGATCATCTCAGGTATCTGACATGTCAGAATTGCCTGATAAATGAGTTCACACATGAACTCTAATAAAGAAAAACATATTCCTTTTTGCTGGAATTGCAAGTCAAGTTTCTCTCCTGACCCATGTTATGAGTCAATGTTTAATGTCACATGATACCCCTTTTCCTAAAAGGAAGAATTTCCTTTCCAATAGAAGCCTGTCTTCTCTCCCTTTTTGGTGAATATGTAAAATGACTATGTTGCAATAAAATCTTTAGAAAAATGCTGGTGGTGGCTGTCACTGTCTCCTAGGCTTGATTCCTCCATGTCTGAAGGACTTGAGTAGCAGGTAGCACATGCCCCTTCTTGCACTGTGTCAGTCATAACTATGCCAAAGCTTTTTGGAAAATGAAAATACATAACTGGCAAAGGATAGAGCAAGGTCTTACATGGGCTACTTTTATTCACTGACAGTAGCTACTCAAAGAGACATAATATACCTGAATCCTTCACACCCAGTAAAGCAATTATTGCTATGGAGAAGCAATATTGAATTTTCCTTGGGAAATTTTCTTTTGATAGATTATCAGATGACTTAAAAATAAATCAGTTATAATTGTTATTCCCACCAGCACACTAGTAATCTTCATTACTAAAAAATAGCAGCAGCAGATACAGAATGGATGAAGATCTATTATTCCTAGCACTGATTCCACATATCTTCATTAAAAGTCTTAAGTCTGGCCCTCCCTGGTGACACAGCAGGTTAAAGCACAGCATTAAGAAGCTAACGCCATTTTCGCATAATTTTGATCCCCATGCACCCCAGAGGCGATCCACATGGCACAACAGACCTCTCCTGACCCGCCCCCTGTTCCTGTCAGCAGTGTACTTTGTCAATCTGCCTGTTCTGCTCCTCACTCTGTCTCTGGTGAATCCTCTCACTGCCCCTGCACTTCTGGCCTGTACCCCAGTTCTGTATAAATAAATCTTAAAAAAAAAATCTTAAGTCTTCCTCATCATAAGACACCATTAAGAAAATCAACAGGCAAAAACAGGTGGAAGGAATTATTTCACATATGTATTGAACAAAGAATCTTTTGCAAAATATCTATAACTTCTTCAATTCAGTACTATGTTTTTCTCTAGTAGAGTTTGTGTGTGAACTCATTTATCAGTCAACTTGGGCAAAAGATCATTTTTAGAACAGGTTATTCACAGAAGACAGAGGAATGGTTAATAAGCACAAGAAAAGATGCTCAATATTAGACATCATGAATGAATATCGATTAAAACCACAGCAGTATATAAATTCACATTAAATAATGGTTGACATTGGTCCTCCCTGGTGGCACAGCAGGTTAAAGCGCAGCACTAACTATCGAAAGCCATTTCCGCATGAGTTCGATCCTTGCCTGCCCTGAGGTGACCACATGGCGTGGAGACCTCTCCTGACCCGCCCACTGCTCCCCTCAGCAATGTACCTCGTTGATCTGCCTGTTCTGCTCCCCGCTCTGCCTCTGGTGAATCCTCTCACTGCCCCTGCAACTCTGGCCTGTACCCCAGTTCTGTATGAATAAATAAATAAATCTAAAAAATAAAATAATAATAATAATAATAATGGTTGACACTTAAAAGACTGTCATCAATAAGTGTTGGTGAGTATGACGAGTAGATGGACTCCCAAACATTGCCTGTCTGGTATAAAGAGGCACTACCGCTTCAGAAAACTGTCGATTTCTTTAAAAAGAATTTTTAAACTTCCATGCCAAATTTCAATTTTTTTACAGAGATACTCTGACTTCAACCCCATTCTCCTGAAGTGCCCAATGTACAATGTGACTTCCTTCTAAAGTAGACAGTATGGAAGGGGAAGGAATTGATTTCCCCATGGAGAAATCTGGTGAGAACTACATCAACCAGGTGACCAACCTTAGTATCAGGATGACTGCATGTATGTTTGATATGAAGCAATGATAATGCTACTTCATCTTTGTGGTCTTCTTCTTCCAAACCCATAGTAACCTCAGTCTTATCATAAAAAATCAGGCCATCCCAATTAAGGTACACATCTATCCAGCACTACTCAGTCATCAAAAACAAGAAAAGTGTGAGGAAATTTTGCAGTTAAGAGGAGCCCAAAGAGTCTCGATGACTCAATGTAAAGAGGTATCCTAGACTGGATCATGGACAAAAAAGTGACATCCGGTAAAAACTAAGAAAACCCAAGAGCACAGACTTCAGTCGATAATAATGAATCAATATAGCCACACGGTCACAGGTGCCAAAGTGACATTTCAGTACACAGCTGACAGCACAAAGGATGGTGGCACTCTATCTAGCCTAGGTGTGCAGAGGCCATAGAGACTTATGTATGTCTGGTGACATCTACACAGTAGACTAACAATGTATATCTCAGAATACATCCCCATCACTAAGCAACTCATACCTGGTTTGGTTTGTGACTTATAACAAATATATTATCCAAAGATTGAGTAAGAAAGCTGGGTATGTGGTACCTCTCTGTACTATATTTGCAATATTTCTGCAAGACTAAAATTATTCCAGAATGAAATTTTATTTTCAAAACTACAAAAAATATCTGCAAGCACTATTACTCTGTGACCTGCAATTCTATTCCGATGAAAAGACCCTGAGAAATAAGTACAATTGTCAAAAAAAATTTAAAGAATTATTACAGTAGTTTACTCACATTAGACTCAAATAGCCAATGATTGATATGCAAATTGTAGCACATTAAAACAACGGAATACATTCAGCAATAAAAAGCAACTATTAACGTGTGAAACATGAAGTTCAAAGGCACTGCAATTAAGCAAAATAAGTTAGATTTCTGTGTGATTTCAACTGCATGAAAACCAAGAAAGGCAAAATAATAATGGTGCTACATATCAGAAGAGTGTCTGACATTTGGGGCAGGAGACACGGAGTAAGGAGATTGGGAAGAGACTGAAAATGTTCCAGATAGATAAAAATATTCTACATCTTGTTTCTGCCATGATGGCTATAAGGTATATCCAACTGTTTTAATTTAGCTAGCAACATGTATGAGCTGGTATTTCACTCTATATAAACTACACTTACTATATATAAAAAATAAAATAAAATCCTTAGTCCAACTGCCAAGGCAAGACTGTGAGATCACACAAGGACAGGTGCCACCTTTGAAATGTCAGAAGAATGACAAAATGAGAGTCACCCAGGGTTTCACTGCCTGGTAGGCTTAGCTGCTCTCCTGCCCTGCAGGTATTGCCAATGAAAAGTTAAATCACCAGGATGCCATGCGTGCAAACCCCAGAATGAGGATCTGGGCCAAGGTACATAGGCTGTGCACAAAACACCATGCACTGTTTCAATTTATTCCTGCATATGGCATCTGATTACTATCATTAAAAGTCCAGTCTAACTTAGTGGACTGAATAAAAGTCCACTAAGCGATTCATCTGAATCGCTCTAGTGTAGACCCCTGATTTATTTTATTAAATGAATTTCCTAGGTGTAGTTCCAGCATTTTACTCTTAAGCTTGTACCACACCAAATTGATTGCAAATGGAAAAGATACTGACATGGCAAGAATAATCCATAACTATTCTTTTACCAAAACTACAACAGTAAATTTTTCAGCAGTCTAATTTAGGAGATCATTGCATGCTGACCCCTGATCCCCATGTGGGGACTTCTGTTTGGTCCTCAGAGCCTCTGTCCAAACTCATTCCTATTACCCAGGTGCACTTCTAGCGGGCCCTGACTTACACATTACCAAGGGGCTTCTTTGGTCCCTGGTCTGCTGTCCCGTTCAGTCAGTGGATATCCTGCAAAGACCTGAGTGAGGATAGAGAAGTTATTCTCCTGGTTC